CCCCCCCCCCCCCCCTTCAACCCAATACGTGTAAATCATCCACATTTGCGAATAAAGTTATCATAATGTTCATGGCATACTTAAATAAAAATGTTGAGTACGCCATTATGATAATATAATATTGTTGCAATAAAAAACAATTCAGCGTAGACACAATATTGTAGAAGATATTGTCGAAGTGTTTAATTCTGAAAATTCCTTTTTGTGTTCCTGATCAGCAGAAATGCGCAAGTCACTATGTTGTAGAGAAGCCACAATAGAAAATAATCAGTTTTCATAATTAAAAACAAGCTGCTATCATGATTCATACTTGGTCAGAAAGACAAAGCTTACACATGGATATGGTTGTGAATCCAGCATTATAATGTTTGCATGGAGGGTCACTTGAAATTACGCTTAAAGAACCTTTAAGACAAGAGTCAAGAAACCTCAATATATATCTGAATGAAATAAACGTCCGTCATACCTTGTAATTACGCAACATCTCAAAGAAAACTTTTTGTAGATGTTATAATTGAAACTTCAAATCTTGAACTTATCAAAATAAACATTTAGCTTACCTTTCCGAGGGTTGGTCCCAAAACTTCACTTTGAAGCATCTTTAATTGCTTTAATGACCCTCTGTAGAAATTTAAGTTGAGTTGTCCTCTGCTCTGCAACAGCTAGGATAAGATGTCCTCCATGCTTCTTCTATAAGTACAATGTAAACTCATCAATATGTTATCTTCTCACAATTGCAAGTTAATTCTTATCTATTTGAATTACAGGTGAAATCAACGGAATATGTTTCACGAAATCCGCATATTGTAATTGAGGAGGAATTAATATACGAAAAACTGGTTTTTGAGGATCTCGGAATGCTTATTACTAAACTGTTCGGACCAATCAGAGGGAAGGATTTTAACCAATGAGGGAAGAGGATCTAGGGCACTTCACACCGCTCTTATTCCTCTTTTCTTAATTTATTATTGATTTAAAAAAGGAAAAGATATTAAAGTGACAGTAAAAATTGATGACATGATTTGTTTCTGTTACATAAGTTTTACAAACTATTTACTAACATGCACATTGGGTAGCTCATAAGCAAATTAGTTTCGATGAAAATTACAGAAAAGATTTCAGTTTTTATATAAACACCACCATGAATCAGTTTTATCCATATTTACTTTTTTGAATTACTTCAAACTATGTACACCCCTGAAAATTAAGAAACCAAACCAAGGAAAAATTAAAAAAATCGAAGACGACTCGACGTACTTTTCTTTGAAATCCACTGCGGCAATTAGCATTATGATGCGCTCAGATCGCTCTTACTTACAATAATTCAAATAATCATCTTATCTTTCTTCTTTATGTCGGAGTAATAACAATTAAAATTTTATTTTGTTCATTGAAAAATCTAAAATGTTCTTATCGTCTAAAAAACATTTTACTTTAATTAAACCTACGCGTTGAAGGTGTAGTCAAATCAGTGCGCAATTATTTTCAGAATTATAGCGTGGTTCCTAGAAAGAAAGAAAAAACAGGTTTGTATTCTTTGTATTAAACTATTATAAAATATTAAAACCATCTTGTTGAGTACGATTCTTCAGTAAATAAGCATCAAATTAACTAACCATACTAATCAAGTGATATGATTTACAATATTGGGTTATCAGATTTCTAGCTTTTAGTTATCATGTAATTAGACAAAGAACTCAGGTCCGTCCTAGGATACGATTTTTGAACAGCAAAATTATTTATTTTTTAATATTTTAAGGTCAGTTTAAGGCAATTTCTGGGCCGAGCGCTGTGGCTAGGAAAAGCTAGAAGGCCGAGCGCCGCGACTAGGACAGGCTAGGGGGCCGGGCGCCGCGGCTACATGATCAATTATAGCCATGTCTTACATTTAAGATCCATGTACAAAATTGTTAGGAGGGCGGGGGGAGGGAGGTAGAATCGTACACATGGAAATTACCAAGAATCCATGAATTATCAAAATAAATTAAATCTACGTTTAATTTAGGAAATGGCGGACTCTTACATTGCAGCTATAAAATAAATGAAACAAATATTATGGAAATGTAATTACAACAAAATGTACAACAAATAACATGGCAGCAGGGATTGGATTAATCTGATTAGATTTAAGATTTAAAAGTGTTAATCTCAGGTTCATCAGTATGGCGGGAGCTGGAGTTTTTTCAATGGACGATTTGCTGGAGAATGATATGAACGTGGCTGCAGGGTCCATTTCAGACGACGACTGCATAGAGGTAGAATAAATTCAAAAATGTTTTAAAAATTGTTAAATACATGTTCCTGTAAAAAAAAACTTTGATTCTGACATTGACAATAAGTTTTAAAAATGTTGTAATTGTTGTTATCGTAAATATTAAAAAACAAACAAATGATATTGAAGGAAAGAAGAAAAAGTGTTATATACAAAAATTAACATATAATTTTGGATATAGCATTACTTTGATTGATGTTTGCGAGATATAAAAGAAAATTTCATTTTGAAAACTATCATGTAAAAAAGTGCATACAGAAGTTTCAGAGGTTTTTAATTTTCTGGGGGAATTTGGGTGTCTAAGCTTGAAGACAATTTTTAATGATTACCTGTATGAAACATTTATTAAATCATAGATTTTTTCCCGACAACTTACATTGCTTATTTTATTTTTAATAAAATCTATGGAGCTATAGATTCTGACAAAATAGAACATTTTTTATTTTGTCTTATTTGTCGTAATTTCTAGGGTTCCTAAATTTTAAGAATTGCATTTAGAGATAGTATGGTGCCGTTCTTAAAATTTGTTTGTGCAAAAGTGATGAAGTTTCAATATAAAAAATGATAGTTTTCAATTGCGGTCATCTTCCTCAATGTTAATCCGATAAAGAGCTAAACGTTACCGTTGTGAATCAGACATGCTGGGCTTTGAAATTACGTTTACAGTCCCTTTAACTGTATTTTGTTCAGGTAGAGGAGAGTGTATACGCCAAGGGTCCAAACTTCTCTGCCATGAACATGGCAATTATAGGTAACTAGCTGTAATGCCCGGCGTTACCCGTGGAATTTTAAAAAATCGAATTTTTTAATTTATGTTATCCAAAGATAATATATATATATAGATAGGTAGAAACCTCCTTCCTAAATTGCAGACAACTAATTTTTGTCCCTCTGAGATAATGTGCAAGGAGAGACATCTATAGCAAATTGATTACTTTCTATATTCCTTTCTCCCCCTGCTGCCATCTGTAGGAAATACGCATTTGTGTTATATAAACATACAGTACGCGTATTGCATCCTGTATAGTTCAAGTGTTGCTATCTGGACCTGTTTGACCAATAAAATTAAATTTCTAGGTAACACAAACATACAGTACGCGTTTGTTTATGTTATGATTTGATGGGCATGTGTTAGTTAGAAAACTCAAAAAGTTTGAGCCTCAGACCAATACTTTTATAGTCTCCAAAAATGTTAGGGGGAGGGGGGTAACCAGATCCCCCCCCCAGCCGGAATGGGGCTAACTTTATTGCAAAATAACAAAGAAAAGATTAACAGTTCCTTCCTGCATTTGTCTGCAGAATTTCCTATGCTTTTGGAAAGTTTCAAAAACACAGGTTTAAAGGGGCTGTTTTCTTATTTGGGTGATTTCATGGCACATTTGAATTATTTAAAAAAAATAAACTAAGGCTATCAAAGGGGATACTGGACTGGGGCTGGCTCAGTTCTTTTTTATATACCAATCCAATTGAAGTTTTGAGCGCACCAAACCTAGGATGATTTTTTTCAGGAAAGTAATGGAGTTTTTTTGAGTTTTTGGGGTGAAGGGGGTGATGAGCCAGTTGTGAGCCATGAAGAGCCAGGAGCAACCGACCATAGTAGTGTTGAATGGGATGTATTGTTCGACCGGATCCTGTCCGCTATTAGGACTTTGTCCTAGATTCGATGTACTTTTTAGTCATAATTTCTATTTAAATTGCGTTAATTTACGTATGCCATTCAGTACAACTTGCACATTTAAACTTTGTCTAGTCAAATTCCTACCTCAGTTTTATTTGCATTGATTAATTTGTTTCATTAAGTACAATATGCAGTATACATTGTTGATACTATAGTACGCATTTAGTGTTATCACGCATAAACAAAGTGATAAATTAGCAACAATCCAGAGGATAAAATGCCATGCGTACGACAGAGATGGTGCTGTTTGC